GAGCTTTAATTCCATGGGCATGTCTTCCTGGGCTGGGCCTCGGCCTGGCTCTCTCTCCCAAAAATAACCGTTTACTAAATGGGCTCCATGAAGTGATTTTGGAGCTGAACACTGTGTCCTGTAATGAGCTGGTCACAGATGTGCAAGTGGATGCCTTTTAGTCTTGAGAAAAGTCACTGCTCTAAAGGTACCCCACCTGCAGGAAGGAGCAGTATGCCTCCACCTGGGCCCAGACATATCACCACATTCACACAAGCACAACCTCCCGTGCTGCAAGTCTACTTGCTCATTCCACAGTTCACTAACATTAATGGAGTGGCTTGACTATCTTTTTCTTCTCTCTCTCTCTCTCTCTCCCTCTCTCTCTCTCTCTCTCTCTCTCTCTGTCTCTCTCTCTGTATCTCTCTCTCTGTCTCTCTCTCTCTCTCTCTCTCTGTCGCTCTCTCTCTTTCCCTTCCTCCCTTACCCCCCTCTTTTTCCAAGACAGGGTTTCTGTGTAGCTCAGAGCCCTGATCAACAACAGCCTCTTGAAGCAAGTGACAACTGCAGCAGTTCAGTGTAAAGCCACAGCCTCTAACACTGACACTACTAGTGCTATGCCCTTACAGCAATGACTGACTGCTGGCTTGCTTATGGAGAACATGGAACCAAGTTAAAAAGGATGATATTCAAAAACATGATCTCACAGCACAACATCCAGCAGCCTTTCAACTTGGGGTGTGTGTGTCAGCTGCTGAGTCTGGAAGTGGAGAATCAATAGAAATGAGCATCAAGTTGGACCTTGGGTACCACAAAAGTTAATTTCCACAAAGGAGCAAGCGACCTGTACTAATACAAATGTTCGCAAGGTTCAGGGATGCAGCCAGGGTGAAGAAAGGAGGAAGGGAGGGGCAGAGAGAACACACAGCCATATGGCTGAGGGGAAATGAGAATGTGAGCGAAAGACTGAAAAGTAGACAAGACCCGCAATCACAAAACGAACTCTGTGGCACACTGGGAGTCTACACTCTGTCCAGCAGCAAATAGGAGCTGTACATCACTGGGATAGGAATATGAAGACCTGGCTGGACAGAGGCAGAAGACTCTGAAGATGAGCTGCACATCCAAGACTCCTGGTCCTGAGAAGGTATGAGAGGAATAAGGGACCGTCCCTCCGCCCCTCCCTCTCCTCGCTCTGCACCGTGCTGTATACAGCATGCTGACATTAGGATTAGCACAGGGTGTTTGCTCTTTTCACCCAGGGTTCAGGAGCTCATTTCAGGACACACTTGCTTTGAAGCATCTAAAGAGTACAGAAAGGTACTGGTGGTGGACACTAGGTGAGATTTCTGGGCAGAAGGTACAATCTGTTTGCCATGCTACATATACTACATAGATTATATATACTATACATCATCTCTGTAGATAATACATAATCTCTCATATACATATGTATATATATATAAAGGTTAAATGTCTGGGGTATAACTTGATGACAAAGTAAGTATTTGACATACATAAGGTGGATAGGGGCAGAGAAAGAGGGGAGAGTAAAAGGATATTGGAAATTTTCTTCTCTCATAGAGAAGAAATACAAAAGGGCAGAGGAGGTGACATAAGGAAATGTCAGAACAAAATGAAAGGAATGTCCACAATAGAACCCAAGTACCAAGTCAAGCGCTATCAAAAGATGAGCTTTTCTTCAGCTTTCTGAAGGTGAGCACAGAGTAGTGAGACGTACCTCCCTTCCTGGCAGGGCTTGGCACTGAGGGATCTCCTCCAGGTTCAAAGGAAATGTCCCTCAAGATCAGCTGCTTCTGTCAACAACCCTACCTCTCAGCTGAGGGTACAACTCTCAGGATCCACCTTTAACTGACTGACCTTAAACTGTCTTTGCTGCTGTTCGTAAGCAGATAACAATACATTCTGAACATTTGGTTCAATCCCACCACCAGCAATCCGGAGGCAGAGGCAGGAAGATCTCTGTGAGTCTACACCCTGGTCTACAGAGAAAGTTCCAGGACAGCTAGGGCTACAAAAAGAAACCCTGAACATGCACCACCTTAAAAAAAAAAATCTTGAAATTCAAAAGGGACTGGAGTACAGCCCAGTGATAGAGTACTGGCCTATAGTACACAGAGTATCCTTGGCATGGTACAAATGGACACTAACAAAGGGCATTCCACAGACACTGTACCTAGCCAAGCAGGGTTTGTGATTTCTATAATCAATTTTAAAGCTAAAGTAACAACATTATTCATTCCTTAGCAATTCTTAAACTTTTCCAATCCTATCAGATACTAATGTGCTCCAAAAAGGTTATCCAAGAGATGTGTACTACGGGAGCCAGCCCAGCTTTCCCGAGTGCATTTCCTCAGTAAGAGCTGGAGCCGCTCTGGCTTGTTCACTCTCATCATGAATCTCCCAAAGCAATCTTTCTTTCTCATCAAAGGAGTAGATATCAAATTGCTGCTGATATCTGAGAACACCCAGGAGGAAAGGAGAGATGGGGAGACGAGAAGGAAGAAAGTCTTCAAATAGTGCTTTCCTGGCCTGCAACCAAATACAATTACAGAGCATGCACAAAAGATGAAGTCAAGATATCACAAACAGAATCTTCACCAAGGCCAATTACACTGACAGCTTCCTCAACTGGAGTGTGAGGTAACAGGCAAGCCTCTCCAGAGGCCTTGTGCCCAGAATCCGCAATGGTCCTGGTCAGTCCCCACTTCAGGCAGCCTTGGCCGTGAGGCACTAACATTTTACCATCTAGTGATACATGGCAATGCCAATCAAGCTTTCTCAAAAAGCAGACTGGCTTTAAATGTTAGCAACTGTGATGTCATTCTTAAAATTATAAAAAAAAAAAAAGTTACTAAAAGGTATAAAATAATACTAATGGCTTCATAATAGAGATTAAATATGAATGTATTAAAACAGAAGGAAAACCTGGGTGCTGAGCTGTACCCCAGAGCATACGCTCATGAATTATTAAATAAATGAGAGGGGGGCAATCTACATAGAAAATTCTAGCAACCTGTGTTGATGTAGCTTATTTCTATGTAATAAATTTGACTCCAAAGAATATGGTGTGAAAAGAGGTAGTAAGTTTGGGCGGGGAGATGTAATAGACACAACAGTGGTACACGCCATTAACCCTGGCACTTAGGAGGCAGAGGCAGAACGATCTCTGTGAGTTCAAGGCCAGCCTAGCCTATAAAGTGAGTTCTAGGACAGCCAGGACTAAAAAAAGAAACACTGTCTCGAGAGGAAGAAAAAAAGAAAGGTAAAGGAAAGAGAAAAAAAAAAAAAAAAAAAAAGGTTTAGAATCAAAGGAGAAAGTAATGGAGAAAGTAAAGGGAACATAGCATATACTCTTCCTTGATGTGACCAGATGGCAAGGACCCTGTCTTTAGGCCTTCCTCCCCAACAGCTCAGTCCATTCAACCATGAGAAAAAATATCAGACAAGCTGAAATTCAAAGATATCATGCAAAATACCTGACCTCCTCAAAAGACCATCAAAACTGAGGAAACCAACAAGTTTAGAACCAACTATGCCCAAGGAAACATGGCATCTAAAACTTCACATGGGATCCTGGGACCTAAAGCCGAGGAGCCCATGATCATATTTAAAAGCAAAGGGGCTCCACCACAGGTGAGGAACTTCCGAATTTTGCCTTTAAAAGATGTATAGGACTAAAATCAAGGTATAAGTATCCATTCACTCCCACTGATGTAAATGGCTGAATAACAAAATAGCTAAGCCCCCACAGAGAAGAAGGCAGACAATCTGCACAGACAAAGCTAAACTCCACTGACGATTCAGCCCTGAAAAGAGTATTAGGAAAACATAAAGAACAGGACTTGGTTCACAGTAAGACACCAGCATTGGCTTCACAGCAGTAAATGTACCAGAATATTAGAAGATGTTAACATGACAACAGCATAACCTGGGAGATAATCATATGAGACCTGTCTTTGGACCTCTGTAATATCCTTGTAAATCTTTATCTATTCTAAAGCAAGTCTCCGTGTATTTGGCCTTTGCCTTTGGTTTTATAAGACATGGTCCTGTCTAGTTTAGGAGAACTTCAAACTCACAGTATTGCTAAGGGTGACCTTGAACTCCCCCAATCCTCCCACCTCTGCCTCCTCCCAAGTGCTAGGGCTATGGGAAAATCTACCATGCCCAGTTCAAATGTTTATTTTTAAAGTCACAAGATATTGAACTGGTGTGAAGAAGTTTTTAAAAACCAGTTGAACAATGACATTTCTGCAGTAGAGAAGTCAAGGAATAGTTCATTCATGGACCAGTGACTAATTGACCCACCCCATAACATTGCACTGAGATAATTCTTGGAACCTCAGAATCTCCATATCTAGAACTGGACACAAAGAAGGTCTCCAACAGGAGCCTTCCATCTATGTCATATTATACCTTAACACATCAGGAGCAGTCTCAATCCCAAAAAGCCTAACAGACGAAACAAAACAGAGTGGCAGAGTACTGTAGCAACATGAAGTCCTCAGTCCAGGCTGGTCCACCTGTGACCACGAACGGGCTACTAAGGCATTCTTAGGGAACAGAGAAGTTCCTAAAGCTGTGATGTTACTACTAAGAACATACTAGAACAGCACGAAGAAGCTAATTCAGCATTCCTACTACTGGCTGACATACTACATACAAGGCAATGTGGGTCTTGTTTGGTGTGCTATGTTCAGCACCGGGCCCAGAGTCTGACCTCAACAGGTGTTTCTGAACAAGAGGGAAGTTATAAACACACCACGAGAAAAGCAAGGCTAAGGTGTGGTAAACAGGGAGTACTGCCAAGAGTTTTCTGTACCATTTTTAAGCAAAATCAAAGTGATTACTAGAGAATGTGGACTTCTCTGAGGTCAAAGAAAAAGGTATACTATAGACAACATTAAACACATAAACAGAGACACGTGGAGATTTCAGATGCATCCAGTGAGGGTAGAGATGCCTGGCAGGCAATAATCTGCCCCTGCTTTCCTTACCTCTGTTCTTGAGAAGGCTCCTCCATGTCCTCTTCAGAATCACCCTGCAGTAAAAGAACATCCATTAACAACTGTCCCAAACAAATACAATCCCCAGCAGTGGGAGGATGAGCTGCAGTGAATGCCTACAAGTGACTGACACCAGCAGTCAAAAGAGATTTATAACAAACAGTGTTACACTGGGGGCTCTTGAGATTACTGATCTTCCAGGATGTAACTTTGGGTCCCAACACCAACATCAAACAACCAACAAGCACCTGTAACTCCACCTCCCAGGGAACAAATACCCTCTTCTGGCTATTATGGGCATCACACATACCTGTACATACTCAATGACATACACACAGACACAAATAAAAATAAAATCTTTTTGTTTAATGATGTTATAAAGCCATAAACTAGCAAGTGGTCTCTTAGACATTCATGTTGAGTAAATAACCTACTAGTTTAAAAACACAGCCTAAACATAATTTCAAAATAAGTTAGATATCACTGAACAGCCTTTTTTAACACTGTAAGTTTAATCACATAAGATACTAATAAAAATGTCTAAGTATAGAAAATATATTTAGACACAGTGGCCTAGTCCCAGAACTCGAGAGGCAGAAACAGGTGGAGTTAGAGATTAACACGGTGTACATAATGAGTTCAAGTTCAAGGCCAGTTATATATAATAAATAAATAAATCTTTAACAAAAAAAAAAAAACAAAACAACAACAACAAAAAAAAAAAAAACAGAAAAGACATTATGTAGCTCAGGCTTCTATCTGACATCAATCAAAAGGCCACTGATTTTGTAAATGCAACTGAAACATCAGCAAGGTGGACACAGAAGAAAGCCAAGTTCAGCTAAGCACCCGCAGTACCCACCCCACATTACCCCTAGTGGCATTCTGCTTCCCTGAAGCTTTGGGCATCCTGACTCACCAGCTTTTCCTTCCCAGTCCCTCTGCTCCTGGTGCAGCTGGCCCTCTAGCCCTTCCTCCTATCTCAGAGTCCTTTGCACGATAGCTTCAGCATGTTGGGTATGGAGCGATTGCTCAGTGGTTAAGAGGCATTACTATTCTTCCAGAGGACCTGGGTTTTAATTACTACATCAGGCAATCAGGCTCATAACCACCTGTAACTTCTGGCCTCCCCCAGCATTAGGTACCCATATACACTATAAACCTTTAAAAAAAAAAAAAAACAAAATAACAACACAAAAAAACAAACAAACAAACAAACAAAAAAAAAAAGCCTCCAACATGTTAGCCCAAACTGAAACTACTGAAACTACAAGGGCAAGACTGCTATTTTCTGTTCTTTCACTCAATCCCACTGCAGACATCCCACCAAAGCCCATCATTCTCCAAGGCCAGATCTCAAGCCTCCAAGGCAAGTTGCTCTGCAAGGCACCAAGCCTAGCAAACAGTCACAGCAGTGACTACAGACATGACGCACTGCTTACAACTTGGTCTTATTTCCAAATGCCAGGACATAGACTGTCTTGAGCACATAGCCCAACATCAGCAGTGCCTGCAGAGGTTGGTTTGGATAAAACCAGCAAGCAACACACACACACACACACACACACACACACACACACACACACACACACACACACACACCGCTTCTGCTGAGGGCACCATCACAATGCTAACTCTTTACTGCTCACTCTCCACCCTCTACTGCCAACTGGAAATTCAGATCTGGCCATTCTCCTCTGTCCTGTCCAGTGGCCCACCATCAATACCCCTGAGGCCTGTCCTTTTTGCTGTGCTGACAGACACACCTCCACTCCATCCTGCAAACCTCACAGCAGTACCAGTCTTCTTCCACATCACTCCTTGCTGCCCATTGTATGCCTAGCTTACAGTGTCCCTGCTCAGGATGACCCAAAGGCTGAGGCAAGAAGGTAGAGAGTTTCCAGACCAGCCTGGACTAACAGTGAGACCCTGTCATCTCAAAAACCAGAAAGTGTTCCAAAAGCTCCCACCGTTCATGAGACATACTCCAAGATCTTTCAGGAAGGGTCTGTGTGAAGGGTCTGCCCAGTGCAACCCAGCACAGACCTGACACACCCATCCCCTCCTTCCAGACCAACAGGCTCTGGTTGTAATTTTAAAAGTCTGAGTAGAAACTGGTCTACATGTCCACCATGTAATACCCAGGGTTGAGCCCCTCCTGGCCTAAGGCTTTAAGTGATTCTTCTGGGAGACACTGGCCTCTTCTCTCAGTTCTTGAGTTCCGGCACTTGAAGGCTGTTCCAAGCATTGCCAGCTTTATCTGCTCGAGAGAACCAAGTTCTCAAAGAGCAAGATCAAATCCTCTTTATTCCTACCAGCTCCCGTGCCGCCCCAGGGCCCTTGCATTGGCTATTTCAATCACTTGCTGCTTTCAAGGGCTGGCTCAAGTATCTTTTCAAAGTGGCACACATAGATGGCTTAAACTAAAACAAACATTCCCATCATGGCACCTTCCTGTCTGCATACAACACATATGCCCTTCAAACACACTGCATCACTTAGAACTTCTGTGCTTCTCATCATCCATGTGCCTCTATGTAGACGGCAGAGTCCACACGGGCAGGTGTTTTGGTTTTACTGTACAACCATCTGCCCTGAAGCAGTGCTTAGCCAGCAGGCTTACCACAGTCCAGCTGTCTCTTAGATTCTAGTACTCAGAATTGTTGAAAACTTCTAAGCAACTTTCTCTAGATGTAAATAGAACTTTTAAGTTCTTATCCTCCAACATAGGCACTTTAATCACCACCACAGTGCTGATCAGAAGGTACTGAAACACAGCACTGGCAAAAAGCTCAGGTCTGGGGCGAAACACTTCCTACGTTCAAATCCTCCTCTGCTACTTTCTTTTATTTTTGGTTTATGCTTTTATTTTTGTTTCTCGAGACAGGGTTTCTCTATGTAGCCTTGGCTGTCCTGGAGTTCACTCTGCAGACCAGGCTGGCCTCCAACTCACGAGATCTGCCTGCCTCTGCCTCCTGGGATTAAAGGCATGTTGCACCACTGCCCAGCATTTTTTTCTTTTGGTTTTTTTGCTACTTTCTTATTGCAGTGGGTGACTTACTTAGCTGCATTGTACCTCACTGTCATCAGTTATAAAATCAGGCAATAACATGTCACACACTACAGGGTATGAATATGAGCGAAGACCACACAGTGCTGGCAGTTCTCAACCCATGTTTGTTATTATTTTTCAGTGTTGACAGAAGGAGATTAAGCCAAAAATAAATCTCTGTCAAAAAGAACTAGTTAATGATTCACTGACCAGAGTTGCATGCTATTACATAATACTGTACCTGAGATTACAACAAACAAATAGATGTTCACTGTACTGTTTCTGCTTTCACTATTCTGCCAACAAGACATGGAATTTTTAAAGATAAGATTTTCTTCTTTGTCTCTAAATCGGAGAGGTTCAGCTGTGCTGTGCCAATGCTGGGCGGGGCCACCCATCCCACCCATCCCACTCCATCCCACCAAGGCCCCATGCTAGATCCTGCCTCTCCATTTCTGCTCTCAGAAATGATTCAGGAGTGATCCCATGCAGACTGGGACACCTGCTTAAGTCAAAACAAATGCAGTTCTCACAATAACACAACAATGCACACTTAGGCATTTCATCTGTGAACTTCAGGACTGAGTAACTTCACAAATAATAAAGTGGGGCCAGACATGACAACTGCCTCTCCTCCAATGGCATCATGTGTGACTATTGAATGTCCACTACATAGGGAATATTGTGGTCACAGCAGAGCTCTCAAACCTCAGCAACCAGATTCATGTATGGAAACCAAGTTGAGACAACATAGCACACAGAAGCAAAGAAAAACAAAACAGGACAAGAAATGCAAAAAAGGAGGAGATGATGGCGATAGCATGAAATCCAAGAGACTCACAAAGGACCCAGACATAAGGTGCCCTTATAGTCAACATCTATGGCTCACACACACCACTGACAGCACACTGGACTCAGCGGATCCAGTGCCAATCTAGAGAGTGTCCCAAGAAGTGACAGGAGAAAGAAACAAGGTCAGACTGCTGAACCCCAAAGGCCATCACAGATCAAGGGAACATCACCCTACATACACCTGGGTCACTAAGGCACACAAAGCTACCACTAAACAGCTAATGAAAAGATGTGTGATTTCTTTATCAACACTACTTTGGATTCAGGTGCTGTATAATCAGAGGATGGGGGAAAGATCTGTAACTCTAACAATAAAGCCAAATATGCCTGATAATAATTTTTCATGTTACTATACCAAATAATTTCCTAACAGGAGACTACATAACAAAAATATATAAATAGGGATGGGCAATATAGTTCATTGCTACCACTTGCCTAGCAAGCACAAGGCTCTGGGTCCCATCCTCAGGACGGACACACACACACACACACACACACACACACACACACTGGGTCCCTTCCTCAGGACACACACAAACACACCACAAAAAAACATCAATGTCCGCTTAACCACAAAGCCCATCATACTGTTATCTGCCCTGGTACAGCCCCTTCAGCAAGGCAAAGTGTTTACATTTTCCAGTGACAGAGCTTATGAGTTGGCTAAGAAACCACCAAGATGACAAGCAACCTGGATCATTAAGTTCTAAGGTCATCCTCGGGAACGCCTGTAAAATTAGTATGAAAAATACCCAACTCTGAAGGTGTGAAAGCTGGTAACAGAGGTATGTTGGGCCCAGATATAGCCCAGTGACTAAAACACGTGTTTATTTAGCACATGCAAGGTCCTGGGCTTAATCTCTAACAACAATAACTACAACAACAAGGGTGAACTGGTAAGATTCATACCTAGACAGAGACAAGAGGGTCTGGCAGCTTGGAACAATTAATGAATGAGTTACAAGTTCTTAATCACTCAGAAAAATTAAAAGGAAAAAAACACTTCTGTATAAATAATCAATATTGGGCAGATCGATTGTTCCTTAAGTGCATCCTGATGTTTACCTCTCATGGACAACTTTTAGGTTCCAAAGCCTTTTAGTCTTCCTGACATGACACCTATAAATATTCTCCACAGACTCTTATGACATACACAAGGAAACCTTCTGGAAATAATTCTAAATTCCTTGGAAAGAATTCCTTCCAAATGACCTTTTTCAGAACACCCTGTATCTAAGACACACACATCCTTCATCCCTGCTCAGGCATATGCACAGTGGTACAATATCTCAAGGGCACACATACAGAGATGATATATGAAGAAAATTATTGTGAATATTAGTTTCACTTTCACCACAGCATTGGTTAAAACACCTTAGCTATCAATGTCTCTCTCTATGGTGAGTATTCTGGAATGACCCCTTCTCCACCTTAACCATTTTTAGAACAAACTACACTATGCAAATAAAGTAAAATCAAGCCAGAAACTGGGCATTTTATAAAAAATAACTTTTGAGCCTATAGATGAAGTAATGTTATCATAGGCCTTGCTATTTCCATTCCTGGGCACAAAGAATATAGCTTTCACGAAGGCAGAAATAAACAATGTCTATAATCTATTTTCTGTCTAGGATGGATTCTGTCACTACCCAGTTAAGACAAGGAGACTTCAATTGAGCCAAAATGCAAAGGCAAATCTGTACATCTTAAGCTGGGAAGAACCTTCCCAGGAATACTTGAAGACAATCTCATTTGGTAAATCTGGTGGTTGGAGCCAGGTCCTATGGAAGACATATTTTCTTGTAGCTGCAGCTGAGGGATGAAACAGGAAGATGGCTTGAGATGGCTTGAGTGTAGAAACCTGAGGCAATACTGCAAGACCTTGTTTTAAAATTTAAAACAGAAAAGAAAAACACCCACAAAAGGGACAGTGACAATGACATGGTGGCAGTGAAAGTATCTGGTAGAGACCAGAGATGACATTCAGAATTCTCTGGCTCAAAGGCCACTCATGCCACTGTTAAAAGCAATTGATATTCACAAAATATGACTACTTAAAGTAAACATACCATGTGCTTCGTTTGGTTCTCAGCTAAGACTAGGAATGATTTTGACAACTTTGGATTTTGTTTGTCTGTCCCACACCCACACCCCTTCTTTCAAAACATGGATTATTTAGAATCAAGGGTAAAAAAAAATCCATTTGGTAATACACTTTTAGAAGAAAGACTACTTGTTGGAGGGGCTTCCTCTCAAAAGGTGGGTCTCCTGCAGCCTCCTGGCCTTCAGAAATGATCTGGGAAATTGTTTTCTAAAAGAAAATCACCTCTCTGCCTATCAGCTGTTATTTATTAGCCCTGGTCAAATGAATATTCCAAATATCTCAAAGCCAGTACTGTCAAGGCTTCACTTGGGAAGAAAGATAAACCTGGAGACTTAGAGAAGTTTCAGTTCAACACTCTGATTTTAATGCTGCCACCAGCATAAACAGTAAAAAACACTTTGAAATTTACCACATGTAAGTTATTCTTCTACCATTCAACAACACCCCCCCACCCCACCCCCACCCCGCATTCTGGGTCTCCACTGCACTGCTAATGAAAACAGTCATCAAAATTACATTTGAATGGGTGCCTTCTGCAAGTCAATGAGAATTTCTTGCATAACTGAAACATCCTATTCAAGACAAAAGCTTTGCAACATCCCATCCGTTGCAGCCTGAAGCCCTCTATGCTACAGATTCCCAATAAAACGATAGCAATTATTTTTCCACATGTAATCATTATATCACGGGGGGGGGGGGTTGAAAAAACCTGAAATTCAGGTTCTTCAGTGGGTGTATTCTAATAGGAATTAAAGACATTTGGAGAAAATCCAAGAGTATACTCCTTTAAAGTCACTTCTTCATCCCAAAGCTACTTAGGCTAATGGCAGGCACCACTCACTAACATTTATGAAATCAATATTCCCATTGTGTTCAACCCTCCAGCTACTTGCCATCCACACCACACCCGCTTGATTAGAGACAGCAGTGCAGACCCAGAACCAAGTCCTCTGCCCACCCTGGACCACTAGCCAGGAGCAAAGCAGGGAGACACACAACCCTGCTGAGATGGTCTGGGCATCCACCTTCTGAACTTGGGGCGGGCCTGACTCACACCCTGTCACATGGCGCAGGAGGAGGCCGAAGGGCCACCGTTGCCAGGTGTTCAGGCTCGGCACGACCGTTTATTTGCCTTGCAAAGTGACCCGAACGCTTCGGTGCCACTAGGGGAAGGCCGGCTGCCTCCAGGCCTCTCCTCCCTCGTACGCCTACACCCGCCCTGTCACCTGGTCCTCCTCACCTGAGTGGGCAGCAGGAGTTCCCCTTCTTCTGCCTGCCACAGCTCCACCACGTTCGGCAAGGGCTCAATCGCTGCACGGACACCAAAAAACACACCGCGTTTGTAATGCAAGGAAAAGAAACGCTTCCTGTTTCCTCGCCCGTCCCCCGTGCCACCCGCCTGCCCCAAACAAGTCTCCTTCTCCTCTCGCAGCGGAGGCCACCCGAGGAGTGAGCCGAGGATGCAAATACAATGTCCAGTCGGCGGGCCCCCCGGGTCGAGGGGGCGAGGGCATGCGGGTTTGGTCCGTACTAGGGGACGAGGCCGCCTCACGAGGCACGGCGATCCCCAGGCCACCGGGCTGGGGGAACAAAGCTGCAGGAAGCCGGGCGCGGCGAGGCACCCGCGCGCCACACAAAGCGGGGGATGCGCCCGGGGCGCAGGGGCCCGCGCACAAAGGCTCCGGGGCGCGCGCGGCTAGCGGTCCCCAAGCCCCGCGCTGCTCGCTCCTGGTCCGGCCTAGGGCCGCCGAGAGGATGCTGCGGTCGCAGGACTGCAGCAGCCCGTCTTCCCCAGCCTCCCGGGTCCCCTTCCTCCGCGATCCCTCACAGATTTCAACAGTTCCCTAAAAGAAAGGGGGGGCGGGGCGGCGAGGACAGCCAGCCCCGACGACGGGCTGACCTTGTCCCTGAGCCCCTCCCGGACGGCAGCAGGACAACAGGACCTGGAAGACGCCCAGCAGAAGGTTCACGGCAGCGGCCGTGCGGCGGTAGGCGCCGGACTGCGGGCGCCGGAGCCCCGCCATGCTGGTGCTCGCCGCGCTCGCAGCGATCTCGTTCTCTCGCTTGCTGGCGCCGCGGCCGCCTAGCCGCGCCCCGGGCCCGCCCCCGCGCCCTGGCCCCGCCCCGCCTCCGGCCCCGCCCCCTGTTGGTCCCGCCCCCGCAGCTGTTGGACTGCTGCTCAGCGCCCGCGCTCCGCTTGCTCCGGAGCGTGTGTGCCGCGCAGATAGAAGGGGGCGGGGGGTGGAACGCGGCGGGGAGCGGAGGGACGAGGACAATGCGAACGCTCGCGGCGCGCAGCACGTGCCCGAGGGCCCCTAGCAGCTCAACTCCGGGGGATGGGACTTGCGGCTCACAGGGAGAGGGTGCTCGTGTGAACTCTCTGGGGTTCTCTTTGTTGGTGACACCCGCGTAGCGGTGGGGACAGTAACCCCGGGCGAGGGGGTCCTGAGAATGAATCGTAGCCCAGCGCGAGGCCTTGAACAGGATATTAGTGGAAATAATGCTGTGGTTGTCAGGAAACGCGAGTGCAGCCGCATAGCTACTGCCAGTTATGCAGCGAGGATATCCGGTGGCTGCGAGGTCTGTAATTTAGAATAAAAGGCTCTCCCAACACCCTAGAGGCTGACCTCAGCGCCGCGTGGCGGTAATGTGCTCGGCACCCTCTGTGGAGACCGTCCAAATAGAGACAGGTGGGAGAGCTTCATTGTAGTTTAGACCTTCAGAGACCCTGCAAATAAATGTTCCCACCTTCGGAATTAGACTGCAAAAGTGAGCGAGTCAACTAAATGTAATTGAAGTGTGTGGTCGCCTTCCCATTTCCAACGTTAATAAGCCGTGTAAGTCATACTTGGAAACATATTTTCTGACTCTGTTTTAAGTTGATTTGCTGTGTGCAGCAAACGTAGCTTGTATGAAATTCAGAGTGTGAGCTGTGCAGGATAAAGAAGGGACATGATGGCGCACACCTGCCTGCTTACATTGATCTAATGCTTAATTGCTTCTGGTGCCTTCCAGTCTAGACTATGGAAAAACGTGGTCATACAGCAGTTCAGATGCTGGAGAAGGACAAAAGGAACGATGGACCTAATCTCGATGCCTGGATATAACTCTGAGATTAAACCATCAGATTTCTTTGCCAGGCTTAAAATTTGATAAAAAGCAAATGTCCACATAAAAAAAGTCACTTTGTTTGGCCCAACTTGAACAACTGCAATTGTTTACTTTTTCCCTAGATTCCCTGGATCGTCACTACCACGGATCTCAGGTCTCATCCCATTGTGACCCTTTTTTTCCTCTTCTTTCACTGGGTTTATAGTTGCCCCTTGGACACTGGGATTCCCACGCTGTGTTATAGGGCCTCAGAAAAAGAAAGGAATATACACTGGGCTGAGCCTGCCTAGCATGTGGGCTCTGGGTTCAATTCACAGCACTACAAAATCCACACTTGCATAGTTCACGTTAGGTGTTTTCAGTTTGTTTCCAATGAAAAGTTCCCTTGAAGGCCTATGTATTTACTGTATACTAATTTTAAATCTATACTAAGAAAGCAAGCAAGCATTGACAGCAGGTTTAATTTAAAAGTCACAATGAAAACACAGAATTTTAAATTATTTTACCTTTTTACTAATTTTACCTTTACTAAGTCTCAACTAAAAAGAAGAATTAAGACAGGAATATTGCTGTAGGCCACATTTGAGTGTGCTCTCATTCTCCTACCAAAAGCTTTTCAGGGCAGCCTGATATTTTCACGTTGAGGTCTTTACCAAGAGGGTAATGCTAGCTGACTGTTGTTCACCAAGCCAGAAGCATGTATCTGCAGTGCCATAAGGCTAGAGAAGGGTACAGGATCACACAGCTGTCTTCTTAGATAAATCTGACCCACTTAGCCCTCTCTGGAGGCATGGTTCATGCTGACTCACGAACAACAGGAAAGTTATGGCCCTCAAACAGCTTCCAAGCTTTAAAGTAGCGTTGTTTTTAAAAGATGATACCTGTGTATTTGTGCTGTGTTTATGATGTCCCTCTTGTCAACTGTAGTGGGTCACAGACTATTAGAGCTAAGAATTTGAGAAAAATCTTTATTCCTTTTATTTAACTATGTTTTTTTTTTTTCAGTTAAATCTACATCATAAGCTAAAACCAAAGCAAAAAACAATAACAACAAAATTCTGGCTACTAGAAATGCTGAGGCAGGAGGATAGAGAGCCCTCAAGGCCATCCTGTAGGCAACAGAGTTCATGCAGAGACCACATAGGCAGTTGTGTGAGACTTTGTCCCAAAATTAAAAAGGAAAAGCAGGCTAGGGATGTGGCTCAGTGGTAGGGCCCTTCCACCACCCACAAGACCCTGGCTTTAATCCCTAACACCATGAAACTGCAATAACAAAATAATTGATTCTCGTTTTGAAATATTCATGATGTTAACAATGTTTTTAACCCTTTTAAAAAATTTAGTGCAGGTGAAAAGCAAATCTATATACAAATTGTGTCTCAACATATCCTACATAAACTTGACTCACGTGGTAAGCCCCAACCACCCTAACCTCTAATCTAGAGAATATTAGACATGCAAAGTCAGAGAGGGACTGTGAAGACAAAAGGAAATAAAGCACGGTAAACATCTACCATTAGGTGCTCAATAAATGATGGAAATTGTGTTACTATTTATTTCCTTTGTGGAGGTGTGTCACACCCATAAAGTGTTAAATTCGGTAATAATGCTTCAAATGCATGAATTACCTATTTATTATCATACCATTTACCACTCAAACATTGGGATAATTCATGTGTACATAGCAGCCTTCTGCTGACCCATCTGTCTATCACTTTTAGGCCTCACCCCAATGAAACAAGACCAAGAGTTTCACTAAGCACCCACCACAACTGGGATCCAAGCTTCTGCTCTGGCTAGAAGGAAATGTCCACAGTGGGGTAGAAACCTATGGTACTGTATTCCTGAGATGCAAAATGCCCCCTGACTCAAAGGTACTTTTCTTGCTAGGACTTTCTTTAGAATTATTATCATTATTATCTGGCTTTTTTGGAGACAGGGTTTCTCCGTGTAGTCCTGGCCCTCTTGGAACTCACTCTGTAGATCAAGGTGGCCTCAGAACTCACAAAGATCTATCTGCCTGCCTCTGTCTCCCAAGTGCTAGTATTAAAGGTATTAAAGGCACGTGCCACCACCACCTGGCTAGAATTATTTTTACATGTATTTATTTGTGTGTGTGTATGTGTGAGTGTATGTGTGCATGGCTTAAAGGCCAACCCACAAAGTCACTCTTTTTTTCCACCACATGGATTCTAGGGCTTGAACTATACAGGCCTTAGAGGCAATTGTCATTACCTGCTGAGCCACATCCTTAGCCCCTGGGCTATAACTTTACCCCATTTTACCTCCTGAAGCCTCCAGGCTGCCCTGTAAGAAGGTCCTCATCGAATGCACAAACTGGGTATATTAAGATTTCCCAAGTTTCTAAGTTGTTAGAAATAAGTTTCTTTTGGCCAGGCAGTGGTAGTGAATACCTTTAATCCAGGCATTTGGGAGACAGAGGCAAGTGGATCTCAGAGAGTTTGAGGCCAAAAAACAAAAGAGAAAGAAGAGGGGGAGGGGTGAGGGAGAGAGGGAGAGGGAAAGAGAGGGAAAGGTTTCTTTTCTTTATAAACTGCCCAGTCTGTAGTAGTCTGTGGTAACAGTGAAAAACAAAATAAGACATTATGCAACTTTCCTGGCAGCCTCTTCCTCCCATGTCCAACCTTTAAAGCTTTTACACCCTTCATGTCCTCTCTGAATGGACTCATATAGCCCTGTGACACTATTGTCTAAGGAGATGAGTCTCAAAAATTTAGCCCAACTGGAAGTTTCACACTCTTAATGCAACCACCTGCTTGTCATCAATAATAGCTCATTGTGTTACATGTATCTCAAACCTAGTGTCTCAAATTCTTAATTCCATCTATCCAAACATATTACTCCCTGGTCTTCTTAAGTTCAAGTTAATGGTACCACCATCTACCTAGTTCCTTGAATCATATTTAATTACTTTCCAGGAGTCATATTTAATTATTCTCCTTTATATTCTTTGAATTTATCAAAAAACAAAACAAACGAACGTGTCTACCTCCAGAATATTTCCCATGCCTTGCCTTTCCACCATCCTTGTTACTCCAGTACATGCTCCTCACTCTCTCATGCAGGTACCTATAAGTCCTTTTACTGTTCTCTCTGCTTCCATCTCCTTACATCTCAGTTGTACACAAGCCAGAATGGCCAATTAAAAATAGAGCTCAGGTTATGCGTGAAGTTCTCCAGTAGTTTCCTGTAGTAGAACAGAATGTTATGTTCGAGTAAGATTGTCCTGTAGGAAGTATGGGAGACCTATCCCTGCCGACCTTCTGACCACTTCTCCTGGCTTTTCCAGTAACCAGCACTGTGGTTCAGTGGTCTTCATGGTCCAAAGCCCACTAGTATTGAGTCTATATTTGAGCCCTTGTATTTTCTGTCTACAGGTCTTGGAGACTTCAGAAGAACCAGACAGAACTAGCACTGTGATCCTTATTTTATTTAGTAACTAAGGATGGGGATGGTGGGAACGACCTTCTTCATACCCTACCTCTTACTCACTTTACCATCCTGTCTCTTGAGGACAAAGAGACAAGAACATAGATTAGAACCCCACCCCTTTTTAAATCAGATTTTAATTCTACTAGATATGGGATATTTGTAGTATATTTAGAAAACCCTATGAAGACCCAGCTATAGTTGATAAGCTTATGGAACAAGCTGCAACTAGTTACAAGATGGCCCACCCACATGCTATTCTAGTGATAAATTACAGGCAAGGTAAAATTCAGTAAAAAATCTGTCATCTTTCTTTTGAGTCTCCATATATCTGAACATACAGACCTTGTCCCTCTATGGACCTCTGTGCATGCTGGCTCATGGTCTACTAATAGTTACCCATATAAACAGCTAAGACAGAAAATACATTAACTTAATTAGTTTCACTTTGTGACTGAAATTATCTACTTGGGAAATCAAAATGTATGGATCCCCACACTGCCATCCCTGTTTGTTTTTCTTCCTTAATCTTGG